GCCCGGCGCCCGGCTGGCTGATCGAAGCGTGCTCGCGTCGGTAAAAAATCGATGAGACGCAAGAGTGACGCTTCGCCGGAGTGACCTTTGGGTGCGGGCACACTGGGGTCCCCCCATCACCGAACGCGATGCGACAGTAGCAACTTGCGCGCTTGTGTTTGGTCCCCCCGCGGCCCACAAAAAACGGTCACCGAAGCTCACTCTTATCCAGGGTTGCTCTTGCGTGTTGCCGAACAAATTTGGACGGGAGGATCGACATAGTTTTGGGCCGCTGGGGGCACTCGCTGGGCCCCAGGGCCGTCAAGAAACGTCCCATGATGAGAGACGGGTCCCAGGGAAGGAGTGTGGATTTCTGGGGGCCGCATACGGAAACAAGCAGGACACCGCCTGTCTGGGATTCATGGGCGAAGATCACAGGCAACGTTTCGCAGGTCACACCGCTGGGGCGCCTAAATTCGCCTATGGGGGCGCCGGGTCTGCTCCCTGAGCCGACCAGTTGCGGAGGTTTTTTTTTCGTTCACGAGAGAGGGGAGCCGGGGATCGAGGATCGAGCTGGTCGATTTGCTCAGGCCCCGTTCTGGAGGGCGGGGAGCGGCATAGCATGAATTCATCCATTGTCGGGTGCACATGGCTGGGCGCCCAGCTCGCTGACTGGGAGGTCGGGACGAACGCAGCGGGGGTGAGCGTTGGCGGGGGTCAGGCAGTCCCATCCGAGGAGCTTCCTGGGGGCCTCTTCTTTCGGGCCGAACGAAAGGGGGGGGATGGGGAAAGGGGGGGTTACGAAATCTGCTGCACGCAGCTGGTTTCGGCCCCGCCGCCGGGCCCATTCCTCGATACATGGGCGCCTCCCTGCGCCGGGAGGCGCTGGGAAAATCAGCTACGTGCGCTGGTTCTCTACCCTACCCGTTGCTATCCCCCCCTTTCGTTCCCGCCGACCCTTGGGGGCCTCTTGGAGGCCTCGGGCCGAGTGGGGGCATCATTTGGGAGCTTCTTAGGGGGCCTCGTTGACCGTCGTAGGGCATTCCTGGCGCGTCCGACGACGTCGGAAGCCGTCTTGGGGGCCTCTCGGGGCTGTCTTCGGCCCTTCTCGGGGCGCTCTCGGGGCCGTCTTGGAGGCCATCTTGGAGGCCTCCGGGCCGTCTTGGTGCCCTTTCGGGACCGTTTTGGGGGCCTTCTTGGCCTCCAAAATGGCCCCAGGACTGCCCGAGAGGCCCCCCCAAGACGGGCCCAAGAGGCCCCGAAGACGGCCCAAGACGCTTCTAAGACGCCCACGAAAGCCTCCAAGACGGCTCTGGAGCACCCCAAGAGGGCCCCAAGTCGGCCCTCAGAGGCCCCCAAAACGGCTTCCGGACGGCGTCAGATTGGCCAGGTGCCCACCAAGGCGGCACAAGATGGCTAGAAATTATCCCAGTGCGACCCTACCTAGGAGTTGGAGCATCCAGGAAAGCAGCATCTACATAGATCTACATCTACACCGACAGCTACATTAACATCCACACCTGCATCTACATCTACATCAACATCAACAGCGAGACTCACATCTACATCTACACCTACACCTACATATACACCTACATCTACATCTACATCTACACCTACATCCATATCTACACCTACATATACATCTACATCTACATTTTCGCATTGGTTTTTAATTGTTATGCTGCGCTATGATATGCTATGGTATGCTATGCTGCGCTATGCTATGCTATGTTATGCTATGCTATGCTGCGCTGTGCTATGCTAAGCTATGCTGTGCTGTGCTGCGCCATGCTATGCGATGCTGTACTATGCTATGCTGCGCTATGCTATGCTGCGCTATACAATGCTATGAAATGCTATGCTATGCTATGCTATGCTATGCTAATGCTTCGCTAAGCTGAGCTTTGCTAAGCTACCCGAAGCTAAGCTAAGCTAGGCTAGGCTAAGCTAAGCTAGGCTAGGCTAGGCTAGGTTAGACGAAGCTAAGCTAAGCTAAGCTAAGCTAAGCTAAGTTAAGATGAGATAAGCAAAGCTAAGCTAAGGGGGCGCAGCTGGGGGAACCGCGGGGCGGATACTGGGGGAACCGCCCAGGGCGAGGAACACTGCCTGGCCCCTTTAAGCCCAGCGAGTAAGAACCTTCTAGGCAGAGCCTAGGTAGGGAACTAAGATGAGATATGCAACGCGAAGCTAAGGGAACGTCACTGGGGGAACCGCGGGGCGGATGCTGGGGGAACCGCCCGGGGCGGGCCCCACTGCCCGGCCCTTCCAGCTACCGAGTAAGAACCCTTCTAGGCAGAGCCTCGGTAGGGAAAAAGCCCCTGGGCCGTTCTGGAGCCGATCTTGGGGGCCTCTTGGGCCGTTTTGGACCGTCAAATGGTTGAAAATACGGAAATGCCAGAGTTCTTCAGACACAACCAGAAATCAATGATCATGGCCAGCCTCTTGGAGGACCTATTGGAGGCATTCTGAGCCGTCTTCATCGCCTCTTGGGGGACTCTTGGGGGACTCTTGGGCCGTGGTGGGCCGTCTGTGAGGCTTTTTGTGCGGTCTTGGAGGCGTCTTTGACCCTCTTGGGTCGTCTAGAAGGCCATCTTGGACCATCTTGGGCGAACTTGGAGGCCAAACTTGGCCGTCTTGGGGGGCACTTGGGGGCCCTCTTGGAGGCCCCTTGGGAGCCTTCGGGGGCTTCTCGGGGGCTTCTTTGGCCGTCTTCGTGGGTGGGCTCCTGGCTCGTCTGACGCCGTCGGAAGCCGTCTTGGGGGCCTCTCTGGGCCGACTTGAGGCCTTCTTGGGGTGCTCCAGGGCCATCTTGGAGGCTTCCGTGGGCGTCTTAGAGGCGTCTTGGGCCGTCTTTGGGGCCTCTTGGGCCTCTGTTGGGGGCATCTCGGGCAGTCTTGGGGCCATGTTGGAGGCCTCGTGGGCGGTGCTGGTGCGATCTTTGGGGGCTCTTCGGCCGTCGGGCCGTGGGTAGGCCGAAAAGACGCACATGCCACACTCCGTCAAACACCAAAGGAACATCAGTGATGTTGGCCTCTCCGGGCCTTCCTGGGAGGCCCTCGTGGATGCCTCGATGGCCGCCCGGGGCTGTGTTATAGCCATCTTGTGCCGTCTTGGTGGGCTCTTGGCCCACCTGACGCTGTCGGAAGCTGTTTTGGGGGCCTCTGTGAAGGCCGACTTGGGGCCCTCTTGGGGTGCTCCAGGGCCGTCTTGGAGGCTTCCGTGGGCGTCTTGGAGACTTCTTGGACCGTCTGGAGGCCATCTTGGGGTCGTCTTGGGGGCCTCTTGGGCCGTTCTGGGGCCATCTTTGAGGCCTCTTGGGCGATCTTGGGGCGATATTGGAAGGCTTTTTTGGGCAGTCTGGGGAGTCGGAAGGCCGAAAAGAAGCACATGCCAACATCCTTCAAACACCTGAAGAACATCACCGATGTTGACCCCTTCGGGTCTTCCTGGAGGCCATCTTGGAGGCCTCTTGGGCCGTCTTGGGTTATTGTATAGCCATCTTGTGCCGTCTTGGTGGGCTCTTGGCCCACCTGACGCTGTCGGAAGCCGTTTTGGGGGCCTCTGAAGGCCGACTTGGGGCCCTCTTGGGGTGCTCCAGGGCCGTCTTGGAGGCTTCCGTGGGCGTCTTGGAGGCCTCTTGGGCTGTCTTTGGGCACTCTTGGGGCGATAGTTGGGAGCTCTTGGGCCGTCTAGGGCCAACAGAAGGCAGAAGCAAGGCAAATACGAAGATCATTCAACAACCTTGAGACAATACATGAGTTTGGCCTCTTCGGGCCTTCCTGGAGGCCCTCTTGGAGGCCTCTTGGGCCGTCTTGGGTTATTGTATAGCCATCTTTTGCCGTCTTGGTGGGCTCCTGGCCCGTCTGACACCGTCGGAAGCCGTTTGGGGGGCCTCTGAGGGCCGACTTGGGGCCCTCTTGGGGTGCTCGAGTGCCGTCTTGGAGGCTTCCGTGGGCGTCTTGGAGGCCTCTTGGGCCGTCTTTGGGCATTCTTGGGGCCGTCTTGGGGGCTTCGCGGGCACTCCTGAGGCCATCTTGGAGGCCTCTTGGGCGCTTTGGGGCCTCTCGGGCCGTCTGGGGCCGTCGGAAGGCAGAATTACCCTGCGACGTACCCAACCCGATGGTATCACGTGGCAAGAGGAGTAGGGAAACATTAGCAGGAACAATGACAGTGCATCCGCGGCGATTTGTAGTGCAAGCTGCATGGGATACGTAATGTTGCACGACTCCCAGGACAGCAAACGATAAGACGGGGAGTAAGTCTCAAGGCTTGCTAAACATCAACGGGGGCGGGAACGAGGGACAGGAGAAGGACGAACCTAATAGCAAGGGGCGAGGAGCCATCGCGGCAGCAGCAGCAGCGTGACTGCATAAGGTGACAGGAGGCCTTGGGCGGAGATGATGACAGAGGCGGGAGAAAGGAAGAGACTGTACCGTTTTTTGCAGGAGCTCGGTCAACGCATGCCCGCTGCCTGTCCACAGGATCATACCTGTTTATACATAGTGCAAGAAGCGATCGAGACCTAGCTCGCGCGCCAGCTTCTCTGCCTCGTTCCTGCATGTTGCAGTGCGGAAGCTGAACTTCCGCAGTTTCTCCGCAAGGTCTGCCGGTGGGCCGCGGGCAAGAAAGTCAAGGCCCGGGTCGCGCACCATCAGTAGGTTGTCTATCGTCGTCGCCCTGGACAGCCCTCGAAATTGGCGACAATTTCACAGATCGCAGCCCCCCAGAGATGGCGAGGTCTAATCTGAGTCCCCGTGGTGCCTCACTCCGCTGGACCCCCCAGCAGCCTTCGAAAGTGGCGACAGTTTCACAGATCGCAGCCCCCCAGAGATGGCGAGGTCTAATCTGAGTCCCCGTGGTGCCTCACTCCGCTGGGCCCACCTGCCGCCCTCGAAATTGGTGACAGTTTCACAGATCGCAGCCCCCCTCAGAGATGGCGAGGTCTAATCTGAGTCCCCATGGTGCTTCACTCCGCTGGACCCACCAGCAGCCTTCGAAAGTGGCGACAGTTTCACAGA